ACAAACACAACATGTATACATGCTTCTTATGGCTTGCTGGGGTTTAGGGTTTAGTGGAGTTTAGGGTTTATTCGGGTTTAGGGTTTATTCGGGTTTAGGGTTTGCCGGTGAATAGGGTTTACTGGGGTCTAGGGTTTGCTGGAATCTACGGATCACTGCGATCTAGGGTTTACTAGGGTTTAGCGTTACTAGGGTTTAGGGTTTAGGGTTTAGGGTTTATGGGGGTTTAGGGTTTACCTGAGGTTCTACAGCAGAGAAAGGCTGCTGATGAGCCTCAATAAAAAACTGCAAAGACCGCGGAGCAGCAGCGAGGGCATCGGCACTCTGTGAGGCAGCAGCAGAACCACAATACACCGTAAACCCTAAACCCTAAACCCTAAACCCTAAACCTTAAACCCTAAACCCTAAACCCTAAACCCTAAACCCTTGAGAGAAAAGAAGGAAGAGGAGAACAAGCTGACTAGTACTTCATCACTGCGACTAAATGGCAAACCCTCGTATGCAAAACGGTGGAACCCCCCACAAGGGTTTAGGGTTTAGGGTTTAGGGTTTAGGGTTTAGGGTTTGAGTTTATACCTCTAACAAGAAAGTGAAGGAGATGCGCCGCAGCTGGTTGGCCCTACAGAGGGGGCTCTGCTCCCCCAGCTGTATGTACACCTCAAGCAGCTTCAGCCAGGCCGCAGTGTGCTGCATGCAGAGACCCCCTCAACACAACAATTTGTTTTACTGCGGCTCTACTGTACACCCCACTGAGGTGCAAACATAGCTAGCTAGCTAGCTAGCTAGCTAGTTCAGTACATGGCTAGCTAGCTAGTCATCTAACTCCACACACGGCTAGCTGGCTAGCAGGCTAGTTCAACCCGTGGTTACCTAGCTAGCTAGCTAGCTAGCTAGATAGCTAGCTAGATAGCTAGCTAGCTACATAGCTGGCTAGCTGGGTAGCTAGCTGGGTAGCTAGCTGGCTAGCTGGCTAGCTAACTGGGTAGCTAGCTGGCTAGCTGGCTAGCTAGCTGGGTGGATAGCTAGCTAGCTTTCTAGCTGGCTAGCTAGCTAGCTAGTTAGCGATACCTCTCTCGCCTGCCCAGAGAGGGCGACGCCGTCCAAGAGGTTAACGAGCTGCTGGCCAGTGAAGCCTCGCTGCAACACAGACACTCTAAACCCCAAACCCTAAACCCTAAACCCTAAACCCTAAACCCTAAATTTACTTTTGTTGCTGCACGCATCTCTTATTTGTTTAATTTTCATCAGCACCGCCACTAGCAACAACACCACCATATCTGTCGCCAGCACCTTGCTGCCCAAACCCTAAACCCTAAACCCTAAACCCTAAACCCTAAACCCTAAACCCTAAACCCTAAACCCTAAAACTTTAACCTGTAGGTATAGAGCTTGGTTGAGGAGAGCGTTGAGGGTTTGGGGTTTTAGTGCGGCAGCCTTGGCGGCCCCGAGGGCCCCCAATGCAATTTCACAGGGGGAGAGAGACTTTTGTTTTGTCTATAGAAAATATAAAAATATAAAAACAAAATAAATAAATAAATATATAAATAAATAAATAAATAAATAAATAAATATACATAATATCTATTGGTAGATACAGCATCAATGCGGTAATGTAGGAAGGGATAACAATACAAGCAGTATATATATATATATATAT